CACCGTGCGACCAATGTCCTAGTGATTAATTCGACGACTCTAACTAAATCTGTCTACCGGCCTTCCTACGTTTTCTCAGTCTTCCTATTCCCTCTGAAGCTGTTCTCTTCGACCCCTGTACATCCAACAATCCGGCTACCCCGGTCATATTCTAACTCTTCTAATGAACTCATCGAAAGCAAAAGTTCCCGGTCCTTCTTCTTCTTCTTCTTCCTCTTCCTCTTGTTTCTTGCTTCTCGCCTCTTCCGTACTTTCCTTTTTCATTCTCCTTCTCAGTGTCTTCCAATGATCCGGACACGGTGTACCCAGTCGGTCGAAGCTGGAGAACCGCAAGACGCGATCCTCTTCCTGTTCCCCGCCCTCGATCATTCCACGGCTATCGGACGACGATCCCTCTCTAGCGGCGGGCATGACCTAGTCGAGCATGTCCGAGAGATCCTCGTAGAAGGAGACGAGACAAAAGGCAGCATCCAGGCACTGTTATACCCAGGAGTCGCCGGCGGACGCCGCTGTCGAGTTTGGCGGTACGTTCACCGTCGCCGTGGCGGCCGAACCGTCCGGCATGCCGACCACTCCGTCGGCCACCCACTGGCCAGGCTGAGGTGGCACCGCCGCCACGCCGACTCCCGCGCCCACCGGGCCCTGACCCTGACCCTGGCCCACCCCCAACTCATACTGCCGCTTCTTTTTCTTCTCCAAGTTAACTTGCGCGTAGAGCGGCTCACCGGGTTTCGGTTGCTGCAACACACACAAGCCAACGGTTAGTTTTCTTTCTCTTTTTCTCTTTTTGTCAGAGCCCCGGCTGGATTCAGCGCCAGGGGGTGGACGCGCGTCGGGGGTGGGCTGTACCAGGGGGTGCAGGGGATTTGGGCCCGGCAGCTTTGTTCGTTGGACCCGAGAAAACGTGCCGATTTTATTGATTTACTTTTCTTTTCTTTGATTTTTCTTTAAAGCCGTATGCGCACTTCTCAGTTCACTGAATGCACTGTGGGTGCGGGTTAGGGTGGTGCGCAACTGGCAGAGTGGAACCAATTGACGGCATTTTTCGTTTTGCTTTCTTTGAAAGTGAAAGAGGTGCGGTGTTTTGGAATATAGTGGTAAAGTAACTGTAGATAATGATAATATAGAACCTTATTAGAAAGTTGATATGGAAAGTTTGTCTTGGTTCTTAGACGGTGCGCCGGTGGAGCAATTGATTCCATTCTGTCATTTGTAAGTTGAGACTATTTGCGTTTATAGAACCGAACAAGATAATTCAATGTTCCATAGATTAGTGGACATCAAGTGGAACAACGCTAGACCGAGGAAGGATTTCCCGGTTTATCCAGGAATTATTATGCTACTACTGTCCCAAGATAAAGGTCTCAACTATGAACAAACAGAAAAGAAAAACGTGGTAGTGCACTGTGCACGAAAGATATATAGAATATAGTAAGGTATATACTGTCAGATACTCTTTTATTATGCTCGATTAGTTTGGATATAAATAGATTATAAATAAGTTCGTGCAATAGTTAACGTATCATTATAAACCATGCTTTTGTGGTGCGTCTAGCCTTTCTCTCGTACAATAAAAATCGCTTAACGGATGTGTATAAAAAGAACTTATATCGTAACAACTATTCTTTGACATTTTCTTTATTTTTGTTTCAGTTCCTCTCGGCACGTTAATCATGTCGCTTTTTCATTGTGATTTTAAGACCGTGTATTATTAGACACCGTGTGTGAATGAACGTCTGGTGTTGCTATTTGAGAGAGAACCTACCGCGCAATGTCAGCTTTAAAGAGACTCTTCTTGTCCTTGTACATTACCCTGCTTTACGTAAACTCATTGAACTGTATATATTAATTAAATGGGCTATTGATTGCGGTCCATTTGTTCCTTCAGTGTTAATATTCCTTACTGTACTTTGTATATAGACTATGATCACTTAGGTAACAAGTCAAAATCAAGTCCTCGAGATCACTATATCCTTTGAGAAACAGAGTTTCGATGGAAATCTCTTCAAACAATTGAGTGCCACGCTACTTCTACTGTTAATTGTACTAATTACTATTAAACCCGGGTAGCAAACGTCAGCCTTCTTACGGGAACTTTGTACGCCTCTCCTGAACGAGTTCTAAAAATTTTGGAAGACAGAGCGGAAACTCCGTCGTGTACGCATGACTTGAATTCCTTGTTTCTCGACAGATGGTTCCGGTGCACAGAATTTTTTTCGACTTTTATGATAATGAATTCGGCTGAATATGCTCCCTGATCATAAAAAATGTCAAGTATTTTGGTCCTGTAATACCTACTTCCTTTTGCAATCATAGAATTATGCAAGACACACTTCAACGCTAAGTTAACAATCTGACTTCTTAACTCTTTTGTATATGTAATTCGTACATAGACTCGTACTTCATATTTTTCTAGTCTACGGCATAAATAATAAAATGCCTCTTAGACAGATGACGGATAATGTAATCCTCTTTTTTTAGGTATCAAACATTACTAACTGGACTTTTTACGGCTATAACTCTACCTTAATACAGCTACGGCAAGTGTAAACTTAACCGAAAAGAAGATTGTTGCTCTACTGCTTGTGCAAACTCGAATCAAACAATTTTGTTTGCTTGCGCGTGCAAGTCGTCGTATTCGTTATAGCATGACTTTTCTATTGTATCTTATTATATAAAAGTCTATGTGTGTATGCGTTTATGTGAATGTCTGTTTGTGTGTGTCTATATGTGTATATGTATACGTATGTATATCAAAGTTTATGGAAATGAAAAATATTGTGAGTGCCATGATGAATAATTTTCATCGGGTAACGAACAATATTTATGTTACACATAGTAGGGAAATGAATTATGCCATATAACAGAAGCTTAATATTTCTACGCTGAATATTGTTGCATTTTATAGACCGTGATGTACTCCTTTGTATACGATATAAATAATCTTCGTCGCCCGATAACAATACTTCCCTACTTACATATTGTTATATAAGTGTAGATTATTGTGTAAAAATTGTTAGATAATTCAATGGACTGTTTTATGCGTACCGCACACAATCTATAGTAATACTGCACTAACAAATGCTGTTCCATAGCATAAAACACGGTAATAATTGACTTAGTTTATACACTTATAAATGTTCGTTAAGTAACTGCATTCTCTGTATCACAACTAATCTGTTTCCTCGCTCGTTACATGCCTCTGTGTAATGATATCGCGGCTCTGTCTGTTCCTTGTGCAAGCGGATAAATATTATAAATAAAGTGTCATGATTATTATAGCGTCACAGTGATTATTATAACCATATCATCCATACATACATATATGCGATATATCTCTTCTAAGTATTCCCAAGTGCATTTCGTACACGGAAATGCAGGTATGTATATATAATATAAAAATTAACAAAAAAGAGAAAACAACAAAATCAATCTCTGTGTATAAATCTCTATATAAACTGCTTGATCGGTTTTCAAACAAGGAAAGGTGTATATAAAATCTTATCTATAGATATAGATAATCTGCGCTCATACTGACAAGAGGAAGACTTAATTTGCAAAACAAAAATCTGTTCTATGACACAATCACTGTTGTTCAAACCCTAGTTTCGTTAACTGTTAAAAACTTCTCTCCTGGACGTTTATTCAGATACTTCTTTTTAGTCGTTTATTAGTTACTTCTGAATTAAATTGTAGTAAGTGCGAATTAAACAAACATAATAATTGAATAAACTGTTGTCAAATTACTTTGAACACAAACCGTATTCATCTTTGTTTTACTTTATTTTACTTTCACTGAGAAATACGGTACCTAATCCTACCAATGGAACCTACCCAAGAACGTGTTCGTCAACAATGCCATTAGTTGTTGTTACTTACAGACTGATATATATTGGGTCGACCAACGTTATTAGAATTCATATTTGCTCTTTGAATTGTTCGGTCCTCGTATCTGGTGCTTCCTTGACTCGCCATTGGCCGGTTCAGAGTGCTACAATCATAGCTATATTTCAACGTACGGCTTAACTGTCCATAATTAGGTTAGGACTCTGCTCAACTCAAATTACAAAACGTAATGTACGTCAATATATAAAGCATATACTAAAAAGTCAACCGCAGAGTCCAAGAAATAAAGAAAGGAACTAAAAACTTCACTATTTTAAAAGAAACAAAGATCGAACCGTAAGATAAAAGAAAGTACTCTATATATAATCCATTAGAGACAAATTACCTATTTGCATTGTTGGGTGAATTAGGCCCTGAATTCCGTGCTGCTACCGTTTTCGTCACGAAATCTTGCTCCTTCCATCCATGCTTCTTGTAAACATCTCTAAGTTCTTGATGTTGCCACATGGTGAATAACACTTGTCCTAAAACAGTAACAAATTTAATAAAGATGTTCAGTTTAAGAATCCGAATCTCACATGACCAAAGCTTTCAACTATCTTGCCTGCAAATTTAAGAACACGAGGTGTATACTTCTGGCGTTGCCTGGTGATATTCATTAGTCTGTCTACACCGCCGGCGTCCAGCAGTGATCGTGAGAATTCAGCGTTCTTCTTAATAACTTCATTCAGTGTAGCTAAAACTGCAGCGATAGTGTCATCGCTCGTTCCTTGGTCGTGCTGATTGTTTCCTGAAGGCAGCTTCTGAATGAGATCACGCATCGCATACTTCCCTATTAATTCTTTATTACGTTGGTCTATTGCGAGGTTTCTGAGTGCTGTAGCAACGGCACAAACTACACGGTCCACCTAAACAATAACAAAGGCAACTCTATATCTATTCACTCCGAACCTTATTGATACAGATTGTATAATTTGGAAAACAGTTCGCGTACCTCCATTCGCAGAAGTTCTACCAAGATTGGAAGTCCTTTTTCCTTCCTCACTGCTGCACGAATCTCAATGCTGGGTTGCCAATAGCAGGCTGCCAGGTTCTGAAGAGCTCCAGCAGCTGCTTCAAGAGTTTCCGGATTCGAGCAAGTTTGTAAAAGCTTCAAATAAGACTGAACTACTTCCGGTTGCCAAAGTAGTTCCATGCCTCTAACTGGTTCTGTTCTAGGGCTGGTTGTACGGGAGGCTGTGGTCTCCTTCTGCACTGGCTGTCCATCCTTTTTTTTCTTGCTGCCTCCAAAGCAACCCAAATTCTCACCTAGGGCATAGTGATTCAAGACTGATATTATTTTAGAAGTTGGTTCTCTTTGCATAGTGTATTGAACACTGCATGAATCACATTGCTTGGTAGCTGCATATATCCCAACACGAGTAGTGTTTAATGAGCTTGATTTAATTATTCGATTTGGAAGGTATACCTTAAAGACTGTCTGGCTAAGAAGAATAAAGAGTTCAAACATGCACTCAAAGAAAGTAAAGCTATCAGCTGGCATGAATTAAGAATATTTGCGAATTTCATATATAATTATATAAAAGAAGAATCGATTTAATTAAATTAGAAACTTCAGTAAGATATCACAGTTGACAATTTTTTTATCATTCACACTACTTTTGTTAATAAGGAACTGTTAGCTAAGTAGTACTGTTATGTTGTGAGGTATCAATGGAGCAGTCATATTTACAAAATGCACTAGGGATGCATAAGGAATTAATGCTAAAGCTTCTGCAACTAAAGCAGAATTTTCCAGTACACCTACTACTATTTACATAAGTTGTACATTAAGAAGCAATAACTACACATCTAATGTAACAGAGGTCTTCTTTGCTTGATATAGATAAAGATTAAAGTGTAGCCATGGGAACCAATATTGATACAATGATAAAGATAAAGAAAATGATGATGTGACTTGTTTTCTGATGGTGATAACTCTATATATTTCTGAGGTCAAGTGAGGTACTGATCTCAGTCACTGAATTATCAGTGAGTTCTCAATAACACTGATGAGTAACCATCAAAAAGCAAAGCATGCATCTACTAATCCCATTAATACAAAATAAGAAAATTAATTTAGCAATGGAAATACAAGAATGTCTTACCTTGACATAAACTGTATGCTAAAAAGATTGAAACACATTTTAATCCATGCTAAACTAGGAAGGATGTAACTTCTGTTTCTTTTCTAATTGTTATACAACATATTTCGTCTTCAGAAACAAAAACCAACTTTAACACACGAGACAGAATTATCAATCTACTGAATGAACAAATTAGGATAGTCTGGCAGGTGAAATGAGGTAAAATAATAACGGAGACACCGAAGCCAATTAATATGCTTCATAAAAGAACACAAAATCAGTGTGGCGAGTTTTTACCAACCGTTGTGTGCGAGGAGAATCAATGATTCCAAAGATATGATTTGTATCTGTCGGGAGATGTTTGAATGGATACCATAAAACCACACATAATATTTCCATCGAACGTTAAAGCGGTCTCAACAACAACTTCAGACAGAAACGTAAGCGTTACAACAAATGTTAAGTGTACGCAGGTGTAAAATCGTTTTGAGAGATTTAGTGTATGGGGCTATCTACAAGTTCTAATTACTACTTTGCACAATTCAAAATCAGGGAGGTATTAAAACACATTATCAAAATGCGATTTGGTTACTGTACAGCAATGTCATTTCCAGGCGTACATTAAAATACATTTTAAAATACTTCAACATTCTAATCTCAAATCACTGAATCGTATCACTATTTCTATTACTAAATATGTAGCCTATTCTCAACAAGGGAAGTAACCAATCAGGAAACTCAATCTACTTTAAGAATCAGTCCATTTAGGACCACCGTACCGCTGAATAGTCAGCATGTTCTCTTTAAACCATGAATATTTCAAACGTGAAACCGTCGGACGAACTTAATACAAGTACGCACTTTCTGCCTTATCTTATCACCCCAGGGAAAAGGTAAACCGCTTATCATCCGCACACACCATTCGGCTGCATGCGTGTCACCACATGCCCATTGAAGATACCCATGTCTTCGCCATGGCAAAGGTACATGTTTCTCATTCCTAGAATGCAACGGGAACAAAAACTGCGTCTCACCTTTGGCGGGCGCTGCCACCCTGTTCTGCACGGTCGACTGGATGGGATGCTTGTCGTAATTCGGGTCTTCCACCTCCTGACACCGGTAGCTCAGATTTCTCAGGATACAGACGCAGTTCTCCACGATTTTGTTACCGATGTTGGACTTCTCTATGGCCGACCGTACCACGTACAACAACGCGTCGACCAAACCCTCGCATTCCCTCAACTTTTTCCTCGCGTACTCCCCAGCGCTGGACACGTTTCTCAGTACACCGGAAGCGTTTCTGAAGACCGTCGACCAGCAGGTCTCTCCGCTGGAGGAGCTGGGATCCCAGCCACTGTGTGGTATAATTATATTATTCACCACCATCGTCACCCCATCGTCGATGATGGACTTCTTCAAATCCTGAAACCAGTGAACAGAACAGTGTAAGATCCAAGCAATGTACCATTTTCAATCCAGATTCAATGAAACCATCCTAGGTTCCATTGTATCTCAATCTCTGAACGACAAGCATCAACAAACACCCACCTCGCAAGAAGACAGGTTCCATAACACCCCTGTGACCAGTTCCTTCACGTCAGCATCGGACGTCCTGCGAAGCAAGTTGATCAAGGCCGGCACACCCCCGGCATTTTTGATGGCCCTCTTATTCTCGTCGTTCTGTCTGCCGTATGACAAGTTCCTCAACGCGCCGCAAGCGTTCCTATAGACATCGGGATTATCGTGATCCAGTAATTGCACCAGTGGCGGAATCCCGCCCAGACTTCTCGTCTTCTGTTTGTTCGGGTCGTCCATGTAGCACAGATGCTGCAGATACGCGGCCGCGTTGGCCTTGATGATGTTGTTCGGGTTGCTGAGGAAACCGATCACTTCGGACAGATTCGGGTCCCTCCATCTCATCGACTTCTGGTCGTCGTCCAACGGGCTCGCCATCCCGGGCACCACCGGGTGTCGGGACTGTAGCCGCTGAAGATGAACCTCGTCCTCGAACATTCCTGGTGGGACTCCCGATGACAGCGGAACCGGATGGCCCTCGTCATAACCGGGTACATCGCTAGGAACTGTGACTGGACCTACCCCTACGCCTGGCCCGTACCCGACTGGTCCGTACGGGGACGGAGACACGTAACCGTAGGGCACTTTACTCTCATCTGTGATCAGATCCGAACGTGGCCGGTTACTGGGCGCGTCTAGATTAGACTACCGGGAACCAGATACCCAAATTAAAACCTGGGTTACCCGTGGAGCACCGTTAAACGCGTACCTTCGCGCACCACAAGAATGTACATTGTAAAAGAAAGAATACACAGGGTGTGAGAAAGTAAATAGCTCTTGAGAATGTTTACTGACGACAAGACCATGGACCTTCATGAAGATTTGTGTGTTTGCAGTACAGTATCTCTATAAGATACAGGTGAAGTTTGCTGTGGCTTCCTTAAAGTTCCTCTAACCTGTAAAGCCATGAAGATCCATGGTCTTCCCTCGTTTCTATCTACCTCATAAGAAACCGAACTTTAAAACCCTGCACCGGGCCATCGAGGAAACACAGAAATCGGCTCCGATAGTCGATGCAGTAGAACTTCCGCGGAAAACCAATTAGCCACTGCCTGAGGACTCTGAATCTGACTCGGATTGCGGTTATGATCCTTGATTCTTACCCGTAGACGTGAAATGCATAATTCACTCATATTATCCATGGAATATGGACGGGAAAGATGAAGTCTGAACGAGGTCAACATGATGAAGCTTAACGAGAGCGAGAGTTGTGAAACGAAGACAACGAGGAGGACAGAAACCGAAAGAAAGAATGAGATATAGAGAGAAAGAAAAAAATATTAAATAAATTATTGATGTGACCCTACCATGAGGATGCTGAGAGGGTTCGCCGGAGTCATCCATATTCCAAGAGTTGCTGATTTGATCTAGAGAGAACACAAAATAACAACGAATGTCAGGCATAGAGATAATTAAAGTGAATTATGCTCTGCTCCGTGACCACGAGCAGACAAATAGCCGGGCAGCGCTGCAACATGATAGCTGAATGTCTCATTATAGGACCGGGCCGGATCAACGCCGCGTGACCCGCTACCAAAAATCGAACGACATAAAACGTGAACCGTCGCGATTTTTCGGGAGTTGACGAGAGCAGGGTGGGGGTGGGCGGTGACGACGAGCGATACTCGCGGCTACGAACCAACGTACCGTACTGATCTCCGGGGCCGCCTGGACTAGGAGTGATACGATAATGATCCTGTAAAGCGGGATTCAGACCTGGATCGATGTCGTTGTACCCGCCTTCCACGTATGGTCCCGCTTTACGCAGGTATTCTTAAAAATAAAACGACAGATCATAGTTTGCGATTCCTGGAGAATCCGTCTTATCGATTAACACGATCAACGACGAACAGGGACAACGGAAATCCGTGCAAACTCGAACGTATATGGGTAAATATAAGTAGACTGATATTAAATGGAACTTCGTTCATTCATTGAAGCGTTCGGTGAATTAAAATTCAAATATTATCCAGCTTAAATTCCATGAAGTATTCTATACTTATTGAAAATATATCGCAAACTTTAACGCTGTTATGAATCGCACAGAGTTTCGTGGTCTAACGATGATCATTTAACCGTTTGAGTGCTGAGGAGCGCTATAGCGCTCTTCTGTTTATCAGTATCAATTATAATTTTCTTACTATGTTTTTCAAGAAATAAATCAAAGTAAATTTATTTGAATAAATGTTATTTTTTGATATTTTTTTGTAATAACACAATATTTGTGATCTCATTAGATAAGTACTCTTAATAATTTTTTTGCATACACACCCAATCACTTCCGCATTTTTGGTAAATATCCACAAAAGTTGTTTAGCATCCAAACGGTTACATGATTCTTTAAATGGTACTAATCGAAATGAATGGAAATTTACCATGTGGAGGTGAGGCACGACTGTGCTCCGAAGGACTATGAGGACTGTGAGGGGAATGCGAGCGCGGCATGTAGATGCCATGCGGGCCCGGGTACCCTGGCTGCGGGGGATACGCGAGGAACGGCTCGTAGTGCTCGAACCCCACCATATACGAGTCCGCCGGGTACCGCGGGTCCGCGTGCTGATAGTCCTGCGACATCAATGGCACTGACATGTAGCTGACTGCACCTGGGTCCGGCTCCATGTGTGATACTTCGCGCACGACTTTCGACACGCTTGTCACCTGAAACAGAATATACGCAGCAGATAAAGCAACGATCCTCTTAACAGATACGGAACTGATAATGTCATAGTAAAAGTGGGCGTGGCTATGATCGGGAAGAAGTGACGTCAGTCGAAGCAAAATTGGTCCTCCGCTACAACGCGAAGTACGCGACACATCGTTGCGCAGAAATTTGGTTAATACAACTTTAACTTCGCCGGAGTATCAGCCGGGTTGGGTAGCCGTAGAAAAAGTGGGCGTGGTCATGGTCGGGAAGAAGCGAAGTTAGCCAAGGCAAATTTGGTTTCCCTGCCGTGACGCGAAGTGTAGAGCACGTCGGTGTACGGAAATTTGTTTCATACAACTTTAACTTTCCGAGGACACGGATTGAAACAAGCACTTATAGGGAAAGTGGGCGTGGCCACTGTCGGAACAAAGCGGATTGGCTAGGATAAAATTGGTTCTTTTATACTGTTATTAAGTGTACAAGATGAGTGGAAATAGATCTCTGAAAGGACATCAAAGTTTACTGGAATATGATTTGAGATACGGGGCTCCTGTGAAAAGTGGGCGTGGTTGTAATTGCCAGGCACATTCAAGTATATACAATTTAAGGGAGAATATGTTCGTTGACGGTGTTTAGAGTTTAATTCATTGTTCTACCATACAATGAAGGAAGCCTGATTGAAACGGTTATATCAAGAGTTAATAATTCCCTCTTATTAACTTATCTCCGCTGTTCTGCTAGTCAATGGGCGGAGTCTATAGGGGTCGTAGTATTTGCTGGAAACATGAGCAATTGTTTCGTTTGAAATTTGACATTTTCACCGTGGAAAATCCGAGTAAAAATTTTTCGAGATAAATTGAAAAGTTGAGTATCTGTAAACACGACTTACTTGTTGAGTATTCTGCTGTTTATGGGCCCGGATGAGTAATGGATCCTCTTGGACAGACAAATGAGACGAATGCAACGAGTGGGTGTCCGCCTGGCCGTTACTTCCGTGGTAATCTGCATCACTCTGTCCGCTGGAAAACGTCCGCAATAATGATCAATTAGTGGCCGTGTTCCGCGCCATTGAGCAATCAACGATTTGTTCGATCGGTCGATAACTTACGGGTATTGCGGCATGTCGGGTCCTTTATCCTGGAGAACGCGTCTGGAAACACAGGAGTACCGTGATCAGGCCACGTACATATTAAGAAGGAACGCGAAATCAATAAACACTCAATTAAACAAGAAACGATGGTCGTCGTAAAGAAACGGATGAATGATCGGGTGCGAGGCCTGAAGAAATAAAAGGTAAAAACACGCTGAAAAGTAATCCGTGCACACCGAACCGCGGCTATTGCGTCACAGAAAACAGCACACACAACGAAACGAAGAACGCATGGCCTACTAAAGCGTCCAGGAATACTTCTAATTGCGCCAAACTACTCGTGTCCCAAGTCGTACGCGCGCACGCACGTACGCACACGCACACGCACGCACACATATATACACGCACACACCACCTTTAAGCATGCGAACACGAACACACGCTGCCAGTGCGGCCGAAGTTATTCATTCTGAGTCACGTGTACGTTCCGTTAACTAACGAGAATCGGGTGATAATGATCGACGGGATGATCTTTAGAATACGCAGCCACGATCTACTAACTAAGATCCTCGACAGACTCAACGTGGAGGGGGGGCTCTTGGATACGAACCGTCGAATAAAAATACCTAAACGCACTATTTTCTGTCTATAATCGCGCCCTCGCGTGAACTTGAACTTCGTAGGAGGGACTGGGAAGGTGGGAGGGGCTAAGGAGGCTTGGTGGGGGAGTTAGAGGCGTTTACAGCCAGTGAGAGAAGGTGGGCAGGACTAGAACGAAGTGGCGGCGATTAGAGTTGAATTTTTACAATAAAACGTGTGGTAAAACGAATTTAACTAGGATCTAAGGGCTTCAAGAAGCTTAAACGAATAATTATTACGGTAATTAGCGACGGTGGCCTCCACGCCGAGCCTGATCCAGAATAAACCAGCGAGGAGATCGGCGAAACAGCTGAATGATATAATCTCGCTGGAGATGATCGGAGATGAAACAAAGTGGAATGGCTGCCTGTGCGATGATCACTGAACGACAATCAATTGTACACTCGCATTCAGAATGACTAACCTCGTGATTAGGTCATGTTAGTCACCTCTGCGTGATCTCGGTGCGCGTAATGCTGTGCTCCTGTCTCTTCTCGATCCGACGATTCACCAGCCTGATATTAACAAGTTTGTCAATGTTATTGAGGACGGGGGAGGGGGGGACGGAGGCAGATCAGTAATGGTCTATCGTTAATTGTCACCCTGTGCGACAACGGATCGTTGTAACTGTCTTTTTCACGATTGAACACCGTCGAGTCGGCCCCAGTGTAGCGGATCGACTGGGCCCGGAGACGAACGGGTCAAACGACGCAGAATCACGTTAAGCCTGATTTCATTCGATTGCCAATAGGAAAAAGCTTCCTTTTTGTATTTTTGTTAGTTAAAGAGAAGCGTTAGACTCAATCCTGAGTGATGCGATCAGACATGGAATTCTTTACCCTTTTTTTTTCGTTTCTTTTAGAAAGATAGAGAGAGAGAGGAACGTAGAGTTAATCGGTTACGAGTCTCTCGAGAGTTCGAGGAGAGAAAGACACTTACAGACAGGAGTCAACCAGCTGATTATTTGACATACCAGCTGATTTTTCGTCTCTTGCCGCTCAGCAGTCGATGGCGTCCCCTGAAACACACCGGAAAAGAAAAGAGATCAATCGGAGAAAATACCGAATCAATTCGCCTACGTCCGATAACGATAGTCTCATTCTACTGTATACAACGTTCGCAGTGCAAATTGCATTCCGATCACTCGAAACATCCAACCAGCGAACGCCGAAAAAATATTCGAAAAACCGTCAGCCCCAGATACACGGAAACGTCAACGATCGCCTACTTCTCGCGCGTCACAAATATTAATTAATCAACAGATTCGCGGCGTCAAACCGACCCCCGTCCTCGCCGAACCGGCGATCCAGTTTCGCCGGCATAAAATCGCGTCCCGCGAAGTTTTGATTAACACCTTCGCTCCCTAACGCCGATCTCTTCTTTTTCGCCGGCGCGGGATGCGTTAATTAATTTCATCAGTTTCGCGTAGTTAACACGAGCAAAGCGAGGAGCCGAGCGCGTATCAGCCGCTCGTGATCGCGACATTAAAATATAAAACGAGCAGAAGAGTTTAATTAATTTGTCACCTCGCCGCTCTTTTATCGCGCGGTTCGATTACCCCGCACGTCCGTGCGCCCGCGTACGAACACACACGCGCCGAGCTGGAAGCCGCGCGCACAGAGGACCGACACGGACGAAGAAGTTCGCTAACGAATTCGGCCGGCGTAAGCAGCTCGGAATTTCGCAGCCTCCTAAAAGGATTCGGCCTGCACTGTCCGTTTCCGCTTATTGCAGGGATACACCCCAACCATCCCCCTCCCTGCGGCATAATTGTCCCGCGCTCGCCGCACGGAATTGCCCTGCACGCGATCAACTTTCCGCCGCGAGTCGAAACTAATCTGAGAACGGGAACGTCGGAATGGAAACCGGGAATTGATCGTCGCCGGATAGTAAAATGAATATTGAATGTTGGCACGCGGTTTTTGAACTTCGACCTCCCCGCCACGGGGCTGGGGTCTTATCGCGAACTTACCCCCGCGTTAAACATTCACCGGTAAGAATCCCGCAGTCTTCCAGTCGCGGGAGAAACGGTTGATCGATGAATAATTCGTTTAGTCGAGTCGTTTATCTTCGGGTTTTCCGATTCGCCACTTTCCAGCGTCTTTCTCGTCGATCGCTTACTGCCGATCGCGTTTCAGCCGAAATTGGTGACACTGCGAAGTGGTTGAAGGAGTTTTACGTGTTGTTTTCTTTTTCTTTTGCTTTTGGGAAGATTGATTAACGAGTCGACAGGTTTATTATTATTCCAACGAAGAACACGACAGTTCGTTTTCGCGCTCGTTACAATTACTCGACACGTTCCCTCGCAATGCGCTTCAATAAAACACTGGAATCCGTGGATCGTAGATCGACGCACGCTTATCTGCCGGGTAAACCTTTGGTGCCGCTAGTGATAATCGCGTTATCGTGAAACCTTGAACCAACGTGCTTCTAAACTAATTCTATTGTTCGCGTGAAACGCGCGCCTCAGAAAACGATCGCGGTATCGGCCGCTCGTAAATACAGAAATGAACTTTCCACCGCTGGAATCGATCTCGAGATCCACCTTATATTAAAGTATTAAATTCGCTGCGAAGTGACGAATCAATTGACTGTAAAGAGTTAATACCTATTCAGGCTCGTTAAATTCAATATAAAAGTCCGGAAATTTTCACCACCAGTGTGACTCTATATTACGAGGTGAAAGGATGAAAGAAGCGACGAGAGGCAGGTGCGCGTGCTCCTTTTTCGCGTGATAATTCCGTTAACGTCGATTAGGAATGGCTGTACCAGTGACATTAATTTCGTCGTTCCCTCGGCCCAGAAACCAGGTCGAAAGCGTAATAAGAGTATCATAACTTAAACAAATACCCCCGATGGTGGTCCCCCATCTCCCCTTTTCCCTCCATCTACCACGTCGCCTCCTCGAGTGGAAATTTTGCGCTCTCGGTGTTTGCCATTGTCATGATCTTTTTAGATCTTTTTCACCGCGGTCGCAGAATTCAACCGTTGGACTCGACGAGTTCACTTAATAATTTCAATGAAAAATCGGTAGCGGGGAGGCTCCCGCTTGTCTTCAGCCGGGGATCTATAAGCGCGACGAATTCCGTTCGACACTTTTGCCTGCCAAGAGTCACTCCCTAAGAGAAACCATGGTACCTTTATTTTCAACCGAGGACCAAGAGAATGGAAGATTCAAAGGCGCCCTTGAAAATAACATTTTACAATGTGGAAATTCAATTTTCTTCGAGTGTCGTTTGATACGACAGCATTGTTTCTCGTTTACTTTTGTGGAGTTCATAAGCGACCATTTCTGAATTTCTTGAATTTACCTTCTGTGAAAAATGGAAGATCGACGTAGGGCGACGAAAAACGAGGTTAGCAAGCTGCATTGTAGATTCACTAATATCGTAAGCCTGCATTTTATCGTCCAATGGTTCAATTATTACACGCAACCTTCGATTCATCTCCAACATCCGTGAACTAACACTTTTCGAATTTTTTGGCGCTTGTTAAACAACGAACGCAGAATCCGAGATATGGCAAAAATGTTCAATTCCCATACGACTATAAACGTTCATGTAAAGCTGATAAAATGATTTATTCACAATCCCCAGGCTGCAAACTTTAACGCAGCAGCTAAACCGAAAGTTCCGTTTGCCTATTGGTGTATAACCAGAATTTAAACACAATAAAATCTCTCGAAACTTTCTGCCAGGCCGAGTTTCAAATAAGCGTACCATAAAATTCGTGCTCCGCCGGCTTCCAAATAATTTCCGAACCAATCCGCCACGGGGTTTGCTTCCATTCTCCATCGTAAATCGTCTCGTTCGACGCTGCTTATCAGATCACGATAGCCGGTACCGAGATAATGCAATCGTCGACTAATATTACGTACTATGCGCGAAGACAGATAAAGAGAAGCCATAAAGCGATCATCGCTGTATCGGTACCGTCCACTTCTTTCAATATCGATGCCTCGGAAAAACGTTGTATCTTACGCTCTTCACTTCAGCCGTCATTTCCCGACACAATTTTCAATTTACCTATTAGTCGCCGTATACGTTGGATCGTCCCATAACTTCGCGGCGCGGTGCATTAATACTTCTCGCGTTACGTCTTGTAATCACAGAGCAATGCGAGTTCGAACTGCTTTAGTTCAATCGGTGGAAGGTATTCGAGAGCGACAGCTCGCGAGGTTATAGAAATGTTATATTCAACTCTAATTCTAATGCCATCGTAACGGCGACTTCGATATCTATATTAGAAAGCAGCAAAGGAATAATTTAATTCTGCAAATAATGAGAAATTGATGGGTAGCTTGCTTGTGTTCCACTGTTTAAGACTTCGATACATAGCTCAGTATTTTCGCGGAGAAGCTTTCATAAGTTCAAAAGATTCTCGCCCGCAAAGGGTTAATAAAATACTGTTTTATATGGCAGAGGAATAAACGGCACGAACTTACGGGGCGGCCTGATATTACTCAATTCCGAATCGACGGAGCTCTCAGCTCCCACGCAACCCTTGAAAAATCGCTCTATGAATCGCAATCGACACGTTCGCGCGGGTCGCGCGCGATATCAGTCGCGAAATGCATTGAAATTGTTCGAGCGAAAGGCCGTGAAGAAAAGCGCGCGGAGGGTGGTCCCTCGAGCGCGGAATCCGAGAATAGAAGGGCGGGACACGCGGAACGAGGGCAGAGGAGCCGGAGGATCGCATTATCGTCAATGAGATTTCCGCGCGATCAAGGGGGACGAGGGAAATGAAGAGCGCGGGAGAGGCGTTCAGTGCGTTCCAGGGCACGCGTTCGACGTGCCTGCTTTGAATGCGAAATCCTCGCGCGACGCGGGGGTGGGACGCGACACGCCGCGTGCGTTTACGATGCGCGCGTGTCCCCACGAAAGACATTCCGAGCGGGATCCGCTGACCCAGACAAAATGGCGACGCGTCTTCAAGAGCAATCGTGAACCGTCGAGGAGCGGAGCGGAGCGTTACGACGGCGGATGTTTCAAAAGTTTCATTGGACAGACGATCGTTTATCTGAGATTTCTGGAATTAATTGTTCTGCTTATTGTGCAGTTACAGTTTATGGAGAGTGACGAGAGAAATTGGTTTGAGATTAATAATGACACTTTAGAATGTAATATGTGAGATATCGGTAGCGAATGTGTTAAATAATTTTACTTGAGATGAGTTTTGATATAGTTGTGGTTATGATGTAGGCATAACATAGTTGTAATGTAGTAATACTATAATAACAATATAGTTACACTTATCACCTCAGAATCCAGCGCACAGCGAGCGCAAGAATTGCCAACAGAATTCGAATCCCCCGACAGCCATCGAGCACGCCGCGTTTCCGGTTGGAACCGTCTCCATCCGTTCCTCGTCGATTTAATCGAGAGCAGCTACGAACTTTCCCCTCCTATCGGCTGAGAGGGAGTTCTCGAATAAAAACGCGTCCCCCGAATCGAATTCCAGGTAGCTAGAGACGCGGCGGAACACGTCGTCGTCGCGCGCCTAGCTTCCGAGTTTTCCAGCAACGAAGGGCTGAATTTCCGGCGAGTTCTCGTTGATATTCCGGATACGGAGAGCCGCGGCCGAAATTTCCGCAAAACGCGCGCAGAATAGCCGGCGGAGTTCCCAAAGCGGATAAAGTCATAACTGTGCGGCCCGAACTCGCGGAAACTGCGCGTCCCCGGGAGCAGCGGCGTGTCCCGAAAATTGCCGGCGGTCGGAGAGCTCGGTCGCCGAACGAATGGCGGACCCTGCCGGTCCACGGGAAACAACAAACCATCGAAATTAAATAAATCAACGAGCACTGTAAATTCCCGGCATGAATCGTGAATGAAAAACCCGTGAAAGACGCTTACGACCGCCACGGTGTTGCTCGTGTCCGACGCGCACGCACACGTACGGGCGTCGCCATTTTTCATCCAGAAATGAAGATTAATCTCCGGATTAATTTCGGTAGATCCAGGAAGATTCCGAGCGGTTAAGGGACTAAGTACCGTAATAAATTCCGGTCCGAACGATTTT